TGATTCTACACTTGGTGTTTTAAGGTGAGTGCTGAATGAAAATATTGTTCAACTAGAGCCCAGTGTGCGAAATCACATAGCGCTGCCACGCACTCAACGCCACGCAATCACCACCTGTCTTGACACCCGAACCTCTCCACAAAGAGCTCCAGCGCGTCTGGCCCAGCCCCCAACCCCTCTGGCCTTCTCTGGCTGCTTCAAGCCCAGCCCTCAGTCCCTCAAGTCAACTCTGGCTGGTCCCGTCTTCTCTGGGTGCCTCCCTGATTCCGCCCTGTCTCTGGAGCAGCACCCCACTGTACGCACAGGCAGCCTCCTGCTGATAGGAGCTAGAAAAGAGCTAATATGCTAATGGCCCAGTCGTGAAGCATTACAGCATCCTGACCATTAGCATATTACCTCTTTATTAGTATAAATACCATAGCTGGTAGTCTTTTGATTAGGTCTGGAGTGTGTGCAGGTGTGCCTCACCTTTACATTAGGTATGTTTTTGAAAAGTTGCAGTGTGTGCAAAGCTTCAATAAATTCAATTTTAATTATTTATTGGAACTACATTGCAAATCTTTATCAAATTTTCATAAAATGGGACTCCCATTTACTGTGTGTGTTATTTAATTTAAACATTTTGGGATTCATTTCTTCCCCAACTCAACCCCTGCCCCAGGGCCTTATATTAACAGTTGTTTTTGCATAGAGCCTCTTCTCTACCCATTATTTATTCAATCATTTGCTTATATCAATATGGGCTTATGGATATTTATATTATACATTGGGTTATAGTTCAATGCTACTTTATTTTTTGGTTCAAATTCTTCCACCTTTGTCCATTGGGAGCTCTTTCAATAGGTGCCTCTGCCACTTTGACATAACCTCATTATTGTGGTTTTATTTATTTTAGCATTTCCTTATATTCTACTACTATAAGATATTATAGGCTTATCAAGTCTATTTTTTTACCACAGTTCTAGAATTAGCCATTTTTTCCAAGGAGCCCTGATTCCTTTTAATAGAGAAACCACAATTTGGGTGCTAGATGTGCTTGTTGCTACTGGGGTGGGGCTACTTTTAGGCACTCTCAGCTGACAGGCTATTTACTTTTAAGCAAAGACTTGTATTATTCCATGAACAAGTTGAATTTTTCAATGCCCTTGAAATCCTTTCCTATAGGTATCTCTCTTTCAAGTACATATCAGTTGGCCATGTTTGTAGCTATTGTAGATACCATCTAAGTCAGTGGTTCTCAACTCACATCTAGATCAATAGAAGAAAATGGGATGGTATTCTACTGAGAAGAGACTTAATTAAAGCATAAGTGGTGATCTATTTAATCACACAGCAGGTCTTAGTGATTGGGACTGATATGTGTAGGTAAAATTTTGAACATTATCCCTCATGTGTGCCTTGATAAGGAAAAAGTTTGGGAACTGCTGTCCTGAAGGAAGCAACTGTGTTTTGTCAACTCAGACATATAGAAATATCTTCCATAATGACATATGTAAATCAGGTAGCATTTGTGTGTGAATAATAAACATGTTTTTCAGATTTAGTATTGGCCATTGATGCCAAATATGTGACAAATGAGAAAGTCAATCCATATAGGTGATTCTATGCCATTGCTAAGGGAGTGACATTTATAATATGAAAGGTTTTGAACTTCACAATGTCTATATTCACCTAAAATTTCCATATTGAAACTAAGGTAATCATGAATGATTTTTGTATGCTTCACAGATATCATTAAAATTATTGATTTTTATGCCCTTAAAAATGCAGATAAATTTAGTAATATTCTCCACCCATTTGAATCATAACAAGAAAAGTTTACTATTTGTGACCTTTCAGTAGCCAATTAAACATATTTTTTTTGTTTTTCTTTGACCAATCTCAAGAGTATGTAGTTGAATTTTTCAGCATGTTAGTGGGTTAGTAATAAAGAAATGGTGGACAAGCGAGTCATATTTTGAGAGACTTATAGCCTTTCTCTCTTCCCACCTGAATCTTTTCAGTGGAGGAAATTATATATATATATATATATATATATATATATATATATATATATATCCAGCAACCGGAATGCCAGAATGACCAATCTCTTGCAGCCCCTCCCCCTGTCCAGCCCTGTCCCTGATTTCCCCCCCTGATTGGGGGGGAACCAGCCAACAGCCCACAGCCCCTCCCCTCCCACCTTCCTGGCCCCCAAATGCCCCCCCCCACCCTGATTGGAGGCGAGGCTGGCTGGCCAACTGCCCATGACCCCTTCCCACAGCCGGCCCTGCCCCGATCGGCCCCACCAGGGTGGGCTGGCCGGACCCTACCCGTGCACGAAATTGTGCACCAGGCCTCTAGTTGGTGGGATAAAAATGATGAGAGCAATCTTATTTGACAAAATTTCACACATAACTTCAACAACTTGGAACAAAGGGTGACTTAAGCTATGGATGAAGATAGATGTATTAATTTAATCCTTAATTGAATTCACAATTATTGAAATGAATCTGCTTATATAAAAACCCTGGGTGTAACATCATGGCCAGAACCGCGACCAACCGGAAGGAAGTTAGTCCTGCAGGGGTTGTCTTGGAAACGGCTGTGCCCTCCTCCAGCTGTTTCCTGGAGGGCGAGATTTCAAGCAGGAACCCACCCTCAGGGTGAGGTTTCAGGCAGGAACCCGCCCTCGGAGCGGAGCATGGAAGTGAAATGATTTGTAATGGATCTATTATTGAAGCTACCTTTGGAAATACTATATCTATAGATAATATCAATAATATATCTAAATGTGCAATTCTTTGTCCAAAAAATGAGCATGTTCAAAAATTAAATGAATAAATTTTGGATATACTCGATGGAGATTTTCACACATATTTGAGTGATGATTCCATTGATTCCACAGATGATGCTGAAATGGAAAATTTTCCCATCAAATTTCTTAATAGTATTACTCCTTCGGGAATGCCATGTCATAAATTGAAAGTAGATGCAATCATCATGTTATTGAGAAATCTCAATAGTAAATGGGGTCTTTGTAATGGTATCAGATTTATTATCAAAAGATTACGACCTAACATTATCGAAGCTGAAGTATTAACAGGATCTGCAGAGGGAGAGGTTGTTCTGATTCCAAGAATTAATTTGTCCCCATCTGATACTGGCCTCACATTTAAATTGATTCGATGACGGTTTCCCACGATGCCAGCATTTGTGATGACTATTAATAAATCACAAGGACAAACTCTAGACAAAGTAGGCATATTCCTACCTGAACCCGTTTTCACACATGGTCAGTTATATGTTGCTTTCTCTCGAGTTTGAAGAGCATGTGACGTTACAGTTAAAGTTCTAAATACTTCATCACAAGGGAAATTAGTCAAGCACTCTGAAAGTGTTTTCACTCTTAATGTGGTGTACAGGGAGATATTAGAATAAGTTTAATCACTTTATCAGTCATTGTTTGCATCACTGTTGTTTTTATATCATGTTTTTGTTGTTTTCATATCATGTTTTTGTCATTTTTATATCATGCCTCTGTTGTTGTTATATCCTTTTGTTACTGTTTATTTATTAATCAATTTATATATGATTTTCATATACATTTTACTAATTTCCTTTCATCTCTCACACTTCTATTATAGAGAAAGGGCAAATAGCAATATTAAAATATCTCTGCTAATTAATTCCCTTTTTATAAAAAATATATTTTATTGATTTTTTACAGAGAGGAAGGGAGAGGGATAGAGAATTAGAAACATTGATGAGAGAGAAACATCGATCAGCTGCCTCCTGCACACTCCCCACTGGGGATGTGCCTGTAACCAAGGTACATGCCCTTGACCGGAATCAAACCCGGGACCCTTGAGTCTGAAGGACGATGCTCTATCCACTGAGCCAAACCAGTTAGGGCAATTAATTCCCTTTTATTGTGCACGAATTTTGTGCACCAGGCTACTAGTGATTAAAATAATTGAACATCTGTCAAAATCTGTGTGTTTGGGAATCACAATATTTAAGTGCAGAGAACAAGATATAGGTTCAAAAACCATTGTGACCATTTACTTCTCCAATAAAGTAGATAAAATAAGGAAACTCATTCTTAAATAGGAACATAATCAAACTATTTTTGGTCTTTAGTAATCATTGAAGTAAATGAGGTTCTCAAAATCTGAATTCCTCACTAACTCTTTCAACAGGGTTCCTTGTGGCATTTAAAAGCTCTGAGACATGAATTTACCTTGCTATTCATCATATTTGTGTGATTCTTACTCTAGAAAATCATTACCAGAAAAGTTGAATGAGGTGGAGGTATCTATACTAATAAAAGGATAATATGCTAATTAGACTGGATAGACCGGATGTCTTCCGGATGTCCTTCTGTACAAAGCCACAATAGCTGCGAGGGCTAAGGAGGGCCAAGGAGGGCTGGCAGCTGTGGTGGCTGTGAGGGCTGGCAGTAGCAGCAGCAGCGGGATGATGGAGGCGGTGCCTTCCCCTAATCGGCCTGGTTGCCTCCTGCAGAGGAGCAGGCCTAAGCCATTAGTAGTACATCCCCTGAGGGCTTCCAGACTGTGAGAGAGGGAAGGTCTGGCTGAGGGACCGCCCCCCCAGTGCATAAATTTTCATGCACTGGACCTCTACTTTGAAATAAGAACTTCATGTTACTAATTACTGAATCTGTACAATGAGTACAAGTGTTCATTATATTGTTCTTTTTAATTTCGAGTATGTGTAAAATGTTGCATAATAAAAAAATAAAAATAAAGTATAAAGCAATTTTGGCTGACTTTAATGGCCCTTAAATGATACTGACCCATATGTGTGTATGTAGCATATATTAAACAAGTTTTATATTTCAATCAACAAACAACTGTTGAACATGTACCATGGGATTTACTTTATGGCATATTGCAAAGAATCCTGTGCCTTTAGAAAGAGAAGTAGTTGTTCTAGTCTTCCTAAGACTCTAAGAAGTGGCTTTTATCACCTTCCAACCTACTATTCTAATACCCACCATGGTTACCAAGAG